CATCCAAGGAATCTCAGAAATCCTATCTTTTTACCTAATGCAACACTTTTGAAATTCACCAAATTTTTACCGTTTATTGTTTTTTTTTTAAACACCCAGTTGGGGAAATACATTGAGAATATGAAAGAAATTACAAAGAATCTGGTTCGGTTACATATAGCCTGCTTATAAGAGTAAGATGGCAACTCAATTAACCTTTAGCAATTAACATAGCATGCTGATATCAGTAGAATAGACAGCACAAATCGTCACCTCTCTAATTATGAGGGGTTGGCCTAACAAATTCGTGTTACAGGCCTGTTTAGATGGCAGCTCATGCTTGGCTGAAAACCTGAACCAGCTAAAAACCAGGCTGGTTGCAAGTTGGGTTAGAAATTTCACCCCAGTATTTGACATCCGTGAACCATGGTGAAACTCTTCAATGAATTATTAATACTTCTATAGTCCTGCAGATGTTTATGAGAGGCTCATTCAGAAGGGAAAGAAGCCAGGCTTCTTTCAGTTGCTGGCTACGCAGACGGTCAGTGCAGTCTGGCATGTAAGTATAAAATCCATATTTTACCGGCCTGAAAATGCTTTTATATCTATTAATGAATCAATACTCTGCTTGTGTATTGATTGATGAGTAGCATTTGTTTAAATTCCAACAAGTCAATTTCCAAATGTATTTGACGGTTCCAATACTATTGTTCTGCTTCTGTAGTAGATGCATTCTTTGTCTCTGGGCATGATTTAATGATAAAGACTCAAAAATCACATCTTTCAGTTCTTAACTAGATGGATATGTGGCGACTTTATTTTCTCCCCCCAGAAAACTAGCACATGAGCTGTGATTGACTAGTTATTCTTTTCCATTTCTGTCCTGATATTGATTGGAGTTATGGGAGCTGATATAGGAGATTGGCATTTGGATTCCAATTGACCTTTGATGCAACTTCTGTGAGTTGATATCAATCTCTAGGCTATTGAACTTGTCTACTTGTGTCCATGTCTGTGCTTTAGACTGTTACGATAAGGTTTTCATGAATCATGAGATAATTATCCATTTTGGACGGGTTTAATCCCAATGCAACCCATGACCTGTTTTTCCCTCTGATTAATGTTACCTTTCTTATTCGTTCTTTCTCACACAAAACCTTGTCCTTGTGATTCATCACCTGTTTTACGTTTTATGTTTGCACGTACGAACCTTCTTTGACTCATCACGCCAGAAACCAACTATTGGAATTATGGATCAAGAGCATGATGCTGTCCACAAAGTTTCACAATTTTGTCTCAATTAACTTTAATTCTCTGTTTATCACCCACTGGTAACCATTCTAAAAGCTTCTAAATTATTATTTCTGTAAATGAAAAGAATAAAAATAAAATCAATGCTTCTCCCATCGGTATTACTTACTATTATCATTTCAGACATCTTAGCATATATATCTCTGTGCTGCACATTTTCTTGTCAAAATAATTTGTTCTTCAACCATTCAAACAACTTATTCCATTGGTAACATCACATTATAGGGATTATATCCTGGGTACATCATATTCTTTGTACAATCTGCTTTGATGATTGCTGGTTCAAGAGGTAAACAATCAGGCCTCCCTTTCTTAGACTATGCTTTATTCCACTAGTTAAGCATCTCTTCTCTTACAAATGCCTTGCTACTATTTTTTTTTTGTTTTATGAGCAGTCATTTACAGATGGCAGCAAGCTACTAGTACGGCTTTATTGAAAATGATACTTGTGTTTTTGAACTTCGCTTACACGCTTCTGGTTCTGAACTATTCCTGTGTTGGTTTCATGGTTAGTCTTTTTTCCTTATTCATATTCTGTTTCTGTTTCTTCTTTTTTATTATTTGTGGTTGCATGAGAAGAATTGTAAAAGCTTAAAAAAAGTATTTCCTTCTCTGTTACAGGTATTAAGCCTGCATGAAACACTTGCTTCGTATGGAAGTGTATATTACATTGGAACCGTTGTTCCCATAGCACTGATCCTTCTTGGAAACATAATTAAACCAGCGAAGCCAGTCAGATCTAAAGCTCGAAAGGAACAGTGAGATACAAACCACATTTTTAGATTGCTTTTGGAATTCTTGGAACGAGACTAGCATCGCCTCACCAATACTTCTCATACTTTGGAACCACGGTAGAGTGATGCTTTCTGCTACATAGCCTTGCTTCTTGATAATTTGTAACAGATGTTTTGTTCTCTGAAATCGCTTATCATAACCGCCTTTATACTCACTCTTAAGCATTGGCGACGAGTAATTGTTTGCAGACCATAGTATCTGTATGCTAAGCCTCTTGATAATTGATAAAAACATGTGAGATTATACATTGTTAAATAACACAGAAAACTCGTAAAAACAAAATTATGACGTCATTAAGCAATTCTAGCTATGAATTCTGTTGGGTTTTTTTTTATTTTTTGTACCAAATGGTGGGACATATTCATAATTACAGGATGATTAGTGAATATTCACGACATTTCTATTGAATTTTTCTTTGGTTAAATGCTCTAATTTGTTGATCTAGTTTACAATTGGAGTTGGATTATTGATAGTTGATCTTGTCTAAAAAAGAGCAAAATAGGACCTTAAACAACAATCTTTTGAAATGATATCAGAATAATTTAGCAGGAATACTTTTTCATTGTTACGAACAAAGCTTATGTTCGTTTTGTTTTTGGGCAAATTCCAGTTTATCCTCTCGTAGTTTGTGCCTTGAGCAGATGACCCCCTTATCATTTGGAAATAAGCACATCACCCCTTTTAGTTGTGGACTAAACTGCAACTGTTAGATTTTTCGTCAAAATAGACGGACGTGGAGAGGACGTGCTGGTTTGGCGATTGATCAACAAAGTTATCAGCTTCTCTCCAAAATAAATATACCCAAATGTCAAAAATGATCCTATGTTAACAGATGTTATACTCCTCCGCCTTCCACAAGCTCATCCTCATGGCTTCCAAACCCTAGCGCCTTCGTCAATGTAATCTTTTTCTCTCTCTCTCTTTCTAAGTCGACCTTACAAAGCGCAGCAAAGAACAGTGATCAGTGACCACTGAGTCCTCTTCCATGAAAAACGTTTTCTCCAAATATGTTGACTACCTTAATAACCTTTTAAAACATACTCACCATTTAATTTTCATATATTTGCACTTAGTGTTGGGTATGAGTTTCTATCAGAAACTTCGAATGAAAAATTGCAAATGATTTTCAAATGGGTTTTGAGATGAGTGTTGAGTTGTTAATTGAAAAGAGAACTTTTACTACAAGGTATCATCCACAATTCTGTGATAGGGTAAGTTTGTTTTCATATTCAATAACAATTTCCTAAAGTTTTTTTAGTGGCCATGGTGTATAGTGAGAGAAAATCAAAACCCTTGTTTAAGCTTGAAACTTGAATTTTTGGGTATTCAAAATTTCGAGTTTCGGAGGTGAAGGGGGGCCTAATCCACAATTTTTAGGATCAAGGAATCTATTTTTGAAGTTAGAATCGAGAAAGAATGAGGTTTGGTGGGTGAAAAATTGAATTAAAAATCGTGATAATTTTTGAAAATGATGAACCTGTCACTTTGGAGCTCGATTTTCACTTACCCTGTGCATGATTTGGACAAATTAAATACATGGTTGGAAAGAGGGTAGAAAGAAGTTAAATTTAGGCGTTTGAATCACCCAAAAAGGTTGAGAAACGAGGGAGAAATTAAGTGTCAAACTTGACCCAAATGTTGAAAAAATTCTAGTGTGTATATAACTTATCAAAATGAGTTTGTGATCATCTTTGAGCTTAAATTCGTGGGTCATGGGGGCTATTTAAGGAAACAAGTCCGTGGGGTTTAAAACTAATTTAAGAGTGGACGATATTGACATTAGTTTGAACAAGTTTGACACTTTGTGGAGAGAGAGAAAAACTTGTAAAGTTGGGTGGTTGGTTGTTTTTTTAGAAAATTAGACTACAGTTGGAGAGAGGAAGATGATAAATAGTTGAGAGTACTAATGTTATTTTACTACTTCTATTTATGGTGTTAATTGTACATATCGGTCCAAAAGCATAAGAGGGTAATGTGCAAAATACCCAAACCACAAGGGGATAAAGTGGATTTTGCCTTTTTTTTTTTGGGGGGTGGGGGGTTAATAACACTATTGGTCCGTAAAGTATGTATGATTTGTTAATTTGGTCCCTAAAATATTAATTTTATCAATTTGATTCTTAAAATATTTAATTCGTATTTAAATGATCCCTACATTAACGAACTGTTAAATTTTTGAGGGAATGATCAGATGTTTGACAGTTTGACACATGAAAGAATGTCACGTAACGAATTGTCTAATTAGAGATCAAATTGACAAAATTAATACAATGATGACCAAACTAATAAATCTAGAACACTTTAGGGACCAAAAGTGTCATTAATCCTTTTCTTTTTTGGGGGCGTAGAAATGGTAGAAAAATTATTGGAAAGGAATATTGCAAGGAGTAGAGGCACAATTTAAAAAACAAAAAATGTAGAGGCACAAGGAACAAAGATAATTGGGCACAACAATGTAGCAGAAATAATTTCAAACTGCACTTTTTCTTCACATATTTAGAGCCATTTTGCAAGTCCGTGACTCAAACTTAGGTCTCGTTGCACCAAAATCCGCCCTCAAAATTCAACCATAGAGAGAGAGAGAGAGAGAGAGAGAGAGAGGGGTTGGAATGAAAAATTAAAAGCCTCAGTTACACTGAACTGGTGCACAAAGAAAAGATTAGTCCGAAAACCAACTAAATAAAACATGACATAGTTCTTTGACGCTAAACCACAAAAGTAAGTAGCAGTAACAAAACTCAGACATCAAAAGATAAAAAAACAAAGAGTAGTAGTATCTATCTATCATTCTAATTATTTGAAATTGAACCATGAAAAATTGGGAAGAAAAGGTTGCAGTAAGAACAGCCCTCCTCTGAATTTGATTCCTTAAATCATTCGAAAAACGCAGTCTTCTGCTTCCATCATCAATCATGTCATACGTTACGACCCGAATTCTGCTTCTTCATTTCAAATCCTTCTTCCTTTTCGGATGGTGCAGGAACAAACCTTTTCCAGAACGGATGCTTGCTCCATATTTCAGCCATGTTTTCAATTGGTATGCCCTTGGTCTCAGGCAAGAGTTTGTGTATGAATATGGTCATCATTAACACAAAACAAGCAAAGAATATAAACAACCCGAACTTGAAGCTGCACAGCATTTGTAAGAAGACCTCGGCGACGAAGAAAGTGAAGATCATGTTGACTGAAACGTTGATACTCTGAGCAGCAGACCGGATTTCAAGAGGGAAAATCTCACTGGGCACCAACCAACCTAGAGGACCCCAAGAATATGCAAAACCTGCGACGTATAGGCAGATAAAGAGTACAACTACAACGGCATACCACAATTGGAGTACTCCAGGGTTTCCATTTGTTCCAAATTTCAGCGCGACTGCTATTGTAATTACCACCTGAACACATAAAACAGATCGAATTAGCACACAGAATGTTAACAAAAATAAATTGGTTTGTGTTTCAAAAAAATAGGATTCGAAAACTGTTTTTGGATATAGTTTTAAAAAAGTGTGTTTTGGTATTTTTTGTGCCGCATAATTTGTTTTGTTTTATGATTTCAAAAACAATTATACAAAATAAAAAATAGACAATAACCCAAAAAATTATGAAAATAGAAATGTGGTGGTGGTGTTGGACGTGGTGGGGTTGATGGTGGTGGTGGAAATGTGATGGTGGAAGTGTGGCGATGGTGGTTTTTTCTAAATTCTAGAAAGGTAACATTTGACCAAACAACTTTTATTTATGAAACTATTTTTAAAAACAAAAAAATAATTTGGAAGATACAAACCAAACAGGTGGATATTTTTTTGTTTCAAAACATGCCCCAAAGAACAGACTTAGTCAGTCTATTAGTTAGCAGAATTTCTCCCACAAGCTGTGAAAATTTTTAGTCTACAGAACTGAATTTTTAAACAGCTGAAGATTTTGAAGGGGTACCTGACAGAACAACATTTGAAGTCCACCCGAAAGGAAGAGATTTCTTCTTCCGTACTTGTCAACGGTGGCAATTGAAACTAAGGTTGAAAGGCAATTCACAAGGCCAGTGATCACAGCAGACATGAGTGAAGCATTAGATCCAAAACCAATGGTTTTGAAGAGGACAGGCGCGTAAAACATAATCACATTCATGCCAGTGAGTTGCTGAAAGAAAGGAATGCAGATGGCAAATGTCAACTGTGGTCTATGCTTTCTCTCCAGTAGATTTATCCATGGGTGTTTTATCGCTGTAGATTGTTCACTGGCCTTAACTAGGTCATTGAACTCCTCATCAACATTGACATTGCCACGAATACTTTGAAGTCTTTCCCTAGCTTCCTCTCTTTCACCACGCTCGATCAAAGAGTTGGGCGTGTCAGGAAGGGACAGTGAACCGATGATGAAGATCAAAGCAGGGACAACAGCACCACCCAAGCTCAATCGCCACCCCCAACCTCCCTTGATCTGGGCAAAGAAGTAGTTCAACAAGTTGGCGGCTAGGATACCAATTGTAATGGACAGTTGAAAGACTATGTTCAGAGCACCACGGTACTTGTATGGAGCCATCTCAGAGAGGTAGAGTGGCACTGACTGCAAAAACACAATTGAACGACAAATTAATAATCAGGATTGTCCATTATGAACAATACCAGCAAGACAATTAAACTGACACTACAAGTACACATGCATGCTCACAATTTTTTTTTTAGTTCAAGGGTCAAAGATGTCCGGACCTATTAACCTCAATTAATCTCTTATTCGAAATTGTCGAGGCTAGTAATACACACTGAAGTTAGAGTATTCATAAAAAATAAATTCAGATTAAAATATTCATGAGAATAAATCATTCGTGGTCTAACCCCAATAAATTGTCACAAAATATCTTTACAATTCTTTTCTGTTATTACTTGAGTTATCCTTGGATTTATGCTTACAAGGTTTGAGCAAAGTAATGTTAATCCAATTACCCAAAAAAGATATTACAAAATTTCATTAAACAGTAAAGACATGCAGATAGTCACCTTTGTTATTCAATGCCAAAAACATGCCCCATTTAAAGTTGTCTCAAACGGTTCATCTGATATAAGTCGGTCACAAAATAATCTTATTGTACTGCATCATATATTTCAAAAAAATAGCTTTTTTTTTTATGCATATATTCATAGCATCAGAGGAATTTAATTTAGCAAAAAAACCTTCTGGTTTCCGATCAAAATTTGAGGGCTAAAATCACAAATATTGCTAGGATGCTGAAATATAAGGCATATTTAAAGTCTAAATTAAGAAATAAATTCACATATGTATAATATAGGGTAGCCCAACCCAACTTATGCATACAATACTAGAATAAGAATAACAACTATCACACACACACATATCTATATTGAAAAGGAAAAAGAAAACGAGAAAATTAGACCTGATTTGCGAACCCAATACCGACACCAAGAAAAATTCGACCAAGAATAAGCATGAAAACGTTTTTAGCAGAGGCATTCACGATTGCACCAGCACAAAAAAGAAGTCCTCCAGCGAGCATAGATATCCTTCTTCCAAACTTTCTGGTCACAGTCGAAGCTAAGAAAGATGCTACAAGAGCAGCCAAATACAGCGACGATGTGAACATTGTTAAAATTGGGCTGTTGAATTTACAATAAGAATCCGAAGATCCAACGACATCCTCCTGCTTCTTATACACTTTAGGGAAGAACTTCTTCAAGAAAGGAGACATAGAGGTCACACCACCTACGAAATCAACGTTAACCCATACCAAAACACAATTTTCATCAAGAAGAAAATAATTAGAGAAAAAAAGTATGATGCATGTTCATGTTCGTGCAAAACTGAACGTATTGAAAAACATCTCCTTATGTATTTAATCAGAAACTCAATCGATTATTGTTTAAAACTGAATACAAAACGTATGGACAAATGTCTCCTTATGTATTGAACAAGAAAATAGATTATACTCGTGCAGAAGTATCTAACTATCTATAGTAAAAATAAAAAGAGACGTGCCATTATATATATGCATGCATGTGTGTGGACATGGTACAAGAAAAAGTATTGAAGAGCAAACCTGAGATTCCGATATCGTAGCCGAAGATTAGACCTCCCATGGCTGCCACAATGCACGTCACTAACACTTTTTTCGTCAGTTCTCCGGGATACCCTTTACCTCCGGGAGGCGGAGCAATTACCCCCCCACCAGCCATTATAGACAACTTTCTCTTTCACTTGCAGAACCTAGGGTTTAGAGAACTCACCAGGAGAAGAAAACATGTATGTAATGTGTTGGTGAGTATATATATATATACACAATTGAACTCTCTGGCTGCAATCTTTTCGCCCAAGATTTAAGAACTTTATCCTTATCCAAGTTTAGTTTGTTAGTCTTAGAACTCTTGAAAGATTTTATCGTATCGTCACGGTGTAGGTTTATCTATAATATTTTTGAATTAGTGTTCAATTAGGATATCTGACCAGAAACAATATTGAAGCTTTTAATTATTTTTTTGGATTGGAGTTTCAAAATTTTGGCACACCCTATGATCGTGGGACCCTCAAAACTAAACATGTTATTCAGATCGCAACGAATTTGTATCAAAAAAAAACTTCACTTCGTTTGATTGCCGTATTATAAATGAATGAATTAGATAAAGTAATACAGTTTAATACAATATCGATGTAAAAAAGACATGATTAAATAGGGTATTAGAATAATACGTAATTTTATCTAGTGTTTGATAATACACAATATAAGCATTAGATAATAGTTAATTAATCCAATCAGTTGTTTGGTTAAGACATTATTTCATGATATTAATATTAAATTAATAAAAATACGTTTAATCAGTGTTTGTTATATTGATGATAACTAGATTTTATCAGTTGAAGGTTATAATAGTAAATTTGTAAAATAATACATTTGAGTTGTATTATAATACCACCTATTTTGGTGGTATTAAAATACCTCTATAATAGAGGTCTATCGTATAAAAAATATACGATAAGTATACGTTTTTGAAATTAATACGACTTCAAATTTGTTAACAAACAAAGTATTAGACCTGATTAAATAAAAAATAATACAATATAATATTTAATTCTCTCATAATACGTTTACCAAACGAGCCCTTCATGTATATCTAATTCGTTTATTAATATGTGTCTAACGCATTGTGTCGCATCGGGTTCGTGTCGTGTATAATAGGTATATAAACGAGTCGTATCATGTATTCTTTTTGAGTTGTTTCACACATATCCGATTTATTTATTAATCAAGTCATGTCAGGTCCACACGTTTAGTAAACGGGTGGTTTAAGAAAGACCCAAAGCCAATAACTTCGTGTTATATTAATAAATCGTGTCATATTTTGACACCCTTACTTAAAACGTATTTGCAAAAAATAATGTTACTTGAATATAATCACTTTGTGCCACTTAATCAACCAACTTGTACCGATTCACCCTTAAGTTAGAAAGCTTTATTATTTGTTTTTGTTAAAACATGTGAAATGGGTAATGGAGGAAAAAAAAAACTCTATCCATAATGGTGAGGCAGTTTTGTTTTTTTCTAAATATCCTGATTATAACACTCTATCCGATAATCCTATTTGAATCAGCAGGTTTAAGGATATTTTTTTATGCAAAAGTTTACTAAATTTATTAGGACTTTAATGGTAGTTTTGTAGTTGAAATCTTACAGGCAAAAGTTTACTAAATTTATTAGGACTGTAATGGTAGTTTTGTAGTTGAAATCTTACAGGCAAAAGTTTACTAAATTTATTAGGACTGTAATGGTAGTTTTGTAGTTGAAATCTTACAGGCGGAAGAAGAATTATAGCAAAATTAGGGTTTCTTTATGAAAATCCTAATCCATTAAGAAATAAACAAATTGAGTCCAGATCGGATTCAGACTAACCCATCAAGTAATAACCATTTATGGCTAATATTGTTGATTAGAAACATAGCTATGGTTAGGGGTATTTATGGGCTGGGTTGCTCACAGGTCCATTATTTCGTCCAAACAAAAATAAGTTTGAAATTTGATAGGCCTAATAGTTAACTCGCTCGAGTTCGAGACCAATATTTTTTAAGGGAGGACTTGAACTTGTCTTCAAACCCATTACCTGCTCTGAAACTCGGCTCATGAGCCCACCCACCAGCTCACCTAGCCTGTCTGTCCTTCCACCCACTTGTTTGAAAAAAAACTTAACTAATGAAATTTTGAAAGTTTGGTGATAATATATGACTCTACTTTATTTAAATAAAGTTATTCATTTTTTATTTTTTGTCCATTTTGATTTTACTTTTGATTCAAAAATATAATTTACAAAAATATTAAGTTAAAATTTTTTTAAATAAAATTGTATATATATAAAAAAAGACCAACTCAGCAAGCTCATCCAATTGGCTTGCCCAGTGAGTGGCGAGTTAAGCTTGGGGTAGCCTACTCCTACTCGAAACTCGGGGTGACCCCCTTCCCCCCGATAACTCGCTTGGATAAAAATTTGAGTCTACACTACCTAAGTTCTGCCCAAAAAAAATTTGCAAGTCTAACCCGGTCCAGCCCATATACTGCCCCCTACCTATAGTTAGATAGGCTGTTGAGGCTCTATAATGTTAAAAAAGTGGAGGGGAGTCACCTTATTCACTTGTTTATTTAATATTAGACGGTTACACCACATAATAATCCTGACGTAGTGTAACCGTTATACTCAATATTTAGTCCAATTAGAGGTGATATGTGGTGAATTTTGTTAAGTTTCCAAACTTTTTGAAATTTTCAATCATCTTTACTGCAATCAAGTAATTCATTAGTAATGTGAACTAATTTCAAGAGAAATATTAATTGTACTTAATTTATCAATTTAATTTGCTAATCTAATCACTTACTGACATTGAGTTGACGGTGAATTTTTAGTATGTTTTAGGACTCATTACTAATTCAATTGTTGTAGGGATTAGTTTAGCCAATTATATCATTAAATAAGGTTCCAATAGTGTTATTGTCACTTACGAGTCCAAATACCACTTAAGCTCAATAATTGTTTAAAACATGGTCGTGTGCTAGAAAATAAATTATATATGTTCTCTGTGTATTTTTTTTTTCTTTTTTGGTTCAAGAAAGGAGTATTTTTATTTTTTAGTAAATAATGAAATGGGAAATTGTCATTTTGTTCGAGACCTTCCTGGGTTGGGCTAACGGACCATCTATGTCGCCCTTTTGTTTAGGTCGGGCTGACCCACCAAACAGTAACCAACTAGGCAGCCAGCCTTTAAGCTAGACTCCAAAACAATAGGGAGGAGAGATCCTAACCATACGCTTGATGACTGTAAGGGGTAAAAAACCTTACAAACTAATAAGAATTTGATTACGAACAAATGAACAATAAGATAAACTGCTAGAGATCAAGGTGAACCGGCTGGAGGCACTACAATGCTCGAGTCAATAAAAGTTTCTCCAATATAATTAAAGATATTTGAAAGAAAAGTAGTGTATACCTTCGACTTTAAGTTTAATTTTGTCTTTATATGATGATCTAGTACCCTTTCTATTAGGTTCTTGCCTTTGACTATGTGAGGTAGTACACCTTATAGTTAGCCGAATTGCTAGTGATTATTATTGAAATCCTTTCCAATGTTTCTGACTCATATATTTATTTGGGCACGTTGATAATGTTTATTTGTGACTTGAATAACGTGCTTATCAATATAGCACCATTTTTGATTCTTCGAGATAATACGATCTTCTTAGTTTGGGTTCAATTCTGTCTGCTCTTATCACCTTAATTGAATTGTAGTTCGGCTGCTGATGGAGGTTCGGCCTATTTAACTAAGTACATTTGCTCGGTTGATTGTAGAATCTATCCCGAACATGTGGTACCTAGTTCAAAACTGATTCCTCAAATGGTTCGGTCAATTCTAATTTGTCGACCTTCTGAGTAGTCGCCATGTCGGCCGCATGATCTTTATCACGTGTCTATACTTATTTCCAATCATTGAATGTTTATTCATACACGTTAATTCTGTGTTCCTCCAGTATTAAAGTTTGGTACTCAAATATTTGCGCCATCTTGTCATCTATGCTCATATGTTCTCAAAAGTCAAATCACTTTCTCTTCCCTTCTTTTTTTTTTCTTTTTTTCTTTTTTTTTTTTTTTCTCTTTTGGATGGTTTTGTTTACCATTCAAGAAGGTATACATAGACATTCCAATGGTTACAAAAGCATCAAATGAATCTAAATGGGATCGCTTTCATTACTGTGTGTGCAAGATCCTGCACAATATAAAAACGAGAACTGCTCTCTCCCTTGGTGAACTCGAATGAGCCAGTTGAGTGACCAACCACGCTGCTTGGAACAGCCTGCGAGGTCCGGTGGTAACCTGGAACGGCAACGGGAGACCCTGGGGGAGCGGAAGAACGATCCAGTAAGGCTGAAAGAGGTTCCTGGAACAAAGAAGAACAAGTTAGAAGGGCGCCGGAGTGTTTTCCGGCGTATCCCCTCCGACGATCTAGTCAGTCTTTGAGAAAGAGAGAGGAAGGAGAAAACACTGAGTGTGTATTGTAGTAAATAGTTCTTTGTTGAATACCGATCTTGCCTTTTGCAAGGAGTATTTATACCTCAAAAGCTCATGATTGCTGTCAGTGTAGTCAGTAGGTGATCATTAGGTACAGGCAGTGTGCGCACTGATTCTGATGAGGAATGTCTTCTCTTCTTAACTGCTCGGGGTCCCGAGCAATCAATGCTGCGTCATCGGGATGCCGACGGTACAATGTACTCCTCTCGGGGAGGATGCAATAAATGCTCTGTATTAGGAGCATTTATTGCCTTTCATTTCCGAGCCTTACCGCATTGAATGCAGTCTCGTCAAGGGAGTGGTGCAATTAATCGTTTGTGTTCCCAAGTCGCGTGTCAGCAACGGCATGCAACTTTTCTGTTTTTGATGTGATATCGTATGCCACGCGTCCATCCCCCATTGGCTGTGGCCCCTGCATTCCAGTACGTTCTGACACTAATTGTGTAAGACGAGGTCATGATGAATAGCCTAGACTAGCCTAGGCTAATGACCTGTACGTCAATAGCTTATCCTGGAGTAGAGGAGGCGTCCAGGACGGGGTACACCTCAGCACCGAGGAAAGGCTCATCTCGGAACCGAGGGAGGGATACCGACTGAGGTACCATATCAGACCGAGACTACGTGTTGGTTGT